GTCTGTGGGATCGCAATGGGGTGATCTCGCGATTGGCGCCGGCCCGGGGGTGATCAACGGTATCCCAGCTTACCCTCGTCTCCATAGGAACATCCGCCAAACTCAACACAGGAGTATCGAATGGAAGCATAGACTGCGCGTAGCACAATCGCAGCGCATGGAACAACCAGGCTTAGAGATGAGCGACATATCAGCAGACGTGCATTTTCTGGAGATGCATGGTTGAGCGTGGAGGGCATCTGACAGGTCGGATCGCGACAAGCCGACGCAGGGTAGAGTGATAACAACCGGACGAAATGCAATAGAATGGCTGCAATACGAGGGTATACGCATCACAGATCTGTCCTACGCGTGTCTGTATGCAGGAGGGCCCGTCACAGCCGAGACGCGTCGTGGTTAGTGAGGCGAAGAGGAGCACTCGGCGACCCAGCCACAGGATATGACATAGCCCAAAGGAGTGCAAACAATAGCGCGACAGGCGTTCGCAGCAGAATGGAGCTAAACAAGAAACTTGAGACCTCGCGTCTGCAAGGGACGACCCTCTCAGCCTTAATGATCTGACCGGGGAAAGGCGTGGTAGGTCCACATGGTGGCTCAGGGCATGTGATTGGTGCTTGCGGGGGCCAGAGAGGCTGGAACCAGCCACATGAGGATGCGTAACATAGGAATAGAACAACACCCGCCGAACCCGATCCACCCAAACACGCTTGCTAGCACGCCAAACCTCTCTTTCTGCACCGTCGCTCTTTTGTTTTGGCTTTTCTCATTCTTTCGCTGTGACTCCACGTACTCTGTCCTGCCATTGCAGCGAATGCGCCTTATCTCCGCCAACAACGCTGCACTCGCGGCCACCCACCACCGTACCCTCTCGCTCGACGCGCCTGCCCTCCGCGAGTCCCGCACCCGGGCGACTCCCTCAGCATGGCGACCAAGGCCATGAACGTCCCCAGCTTCGGCGGCGCTCACGCTGCGGGCATCTTTTCCGACATGACGGTCGACGGGCCGGTGATAGGCACCCTGGTTGTCATCATGGACCGCGCCCGCAACCTGCCTAACAAGAGGACTATGGGCAAGCAGGATCCGTACTGCGCTGCCCGGTTAGGCAAGGAAGCAAAAAAGACCAAGACGGACAAACGCGGCGGCCAGACACCGCGATGGTATGTTTGACTTCACCGAGTTTCGAACAGCCGCGACTGACATATGCAGGGACCAGGAATTGCGCTTCACCGTCCACGACTCGCCCGACTACAACCGCCTCAAGGTCTCCGTCTTCAATGACGACAAGAAGACGGAGCTGATTGGCGAGGCCTTTGCGAACCTCAACTCCGTCATCACCCCCGGCGGAGGCCAGAGCGACGAATGGCTGGGCCTCAATTGCAAGGGCAAGTACGCAGGCGAGATCCGCATGGAGATCACCTACTACGACACCCGCGAGAAGAGCGAGAAGCCGGTTCTGCAGAAGAGGAGAGAGTCGACCAAGCCCGAAGGACAGGCTGCTGTGGGTGGAGCGCGAGAGATGGCACCCGTCAAGCGGCGCCCGCTACCCAGCGACCCCACAGGTGCGACGCCATCCCCCGTACACACACCTGAGCACCGAGGACTGCGGGGCGTTAGGGCTGGCCCGCGGGAATTGGGCTCCCCGCGACACCAAAGAACAGCAACCGAGCCGTCACCAACACAGCGCAGCCCGGCCGACACGCCCTCCCGCAGGCCTATACCAGACGCGTCCCCCCTAAACCCCGCATCGTCATCGAGCCAAAACACTCCTCAGCGCCCTGTACCGCAAACCTCCTACAGCACACCCCCAAACCCGCGCTCATCAGCCCAGAGGATGCCCCTACCAAGGGAAGAGAGCTTCGACATGTCTTACGCCGCGCCCAAGCCATACGAGGTGAAGCCCATTGATCCTCTGCCACAACATGTCCGGCACTCAGACCAGAGGAGGATGTCGCAGGAAGACGGTCGATCTCCTAGGAGCCAGGCACTGCAGCACCCCGAGCCAGTGCATTCTCACTCGGCACCAATTGTGCCAACGCAGCACGCGTATGAGTCTCCGGCGCAATCGCAAAAACTACAGGAACAGCAGAAGCAGATCGAGTATCTGCAGCAACAGCTACTCCAGCATCAGCAGTTTGAGCCTCAACGAATTGAGCCCCCGCCGCAGCCAGCTCAGTCATACGCACAAGACCAGTACCAGGATCCGACTTATCAGGTTGCACCCTTGCGAAGCAGTCGTAGCCGCGAGCAAGCTCAGGAAGCTCCTCCACTCGACCAATACTACGGTCAACGATTCATCGAGGCTCCTCCCCTACACGATGAGAGCCCCACGCATCGCAGACGCAGCGCCATGCAGCCTATGGTCGAAGACGAGGACGACATGCCACCACCGCCGCCAATGCACAAGCGCAATGCCAGCACGCTACCTCACCCCAACCAAGAGAGCGTTGAGCGTGAGCGCTACCGCGAAGAAGCCCCTGCGCCCCTGAGCTTCTCGGCCAGATCGCGCGAGGAGCCCCGTCAGTTCAGCTACGATATGCCGCCCCAGCAATACGAGGCCGATAACTACGCGCCCCGACAACCTGCAGAGCGACGCTACACTCATCCTCGCATGCCGGCGCAGCCATCGAGTCGTCCAGTGTCTCGCGACAACATGGTGCCATCCCCGCTACGACAAGAAACCCTGCGACAGGAAGCACCGGCGTTACCGAGTGCCCTCATCGCTGGGCTCAACCCACAAAGACAGGAGATTGAAGCGCCACCTTACGAAGCGCCCCCATCGTATGAGACACCACCGAGACTGCGCCATTACTCTGAGCCTGCAGAGTATCGGGCCATCACTCAGTACGAAGACCCCGTTCAGTCGCAGGAACTGGTTCACCATTCCGCGTACCAAACGAACGACTATTATCCCCATGACCCGCCTGAGCAGCCTCGACAGATGTCTCCACCAGTTTACGATGCTGGCCCGATCATCAAGCCGCGTGCTACAAGCCCTAACGTGAGCTCACGCTACTCTCCCAACCCAGCAATGGACCGCTACTCGCCCAACCCGATTATGGATCGCTACTCTCCCAATCCTGAGATGGAACGACACTCTCCTAACCCGGCTACCGATCGCTCGTCTAGGTTGCCTGCGAGAAGTATGCCGACGCGTAAATCAGTCTCACCTCGCCCACCGCCTTCCAGAGAAGATATGGGTGAGCGACGACTGTCTGGAGTAGCATTCGGTCCCGACAGTTTTGATGTCTACAATCCCCGGATGAGCAAGTCTCCCATACCTTCGGACGATGAGCTCGAGCGGCCAGGCAGTCGCATGGAGTACAACGACAAGGGTCAGATTGTTACATTTAGCGGAAGGGTTGTCGATGCGTCCGACCATCTACCCGTCGACAACTGGGCGCCTGAACCAGTACCGAAGGGCACAGTGAAGGAGAAGGCTCCTCGCACAAGAGCTCAGCTTAATGGCAGCAGAGACCTCGAGGCCGCCATGCAACGCGAGGAACGATACCAACGAGAGCGTGCTGACAGAGAGCGCATTCGTCATGCCGCCAGCATGAACTTTGACAACAGCAACGCCTTAGTCACGACGAGACACGATTTCAATAACGACTACAATCAGCCTGTGAACGCAGGTGCGCTGGTCCTCGCAAGCCAGAGCCAGCACAACGCACCTCCCAATCCAACAGCACGCAGCAGGCCCACAAGGCGCGACCAACGCCCCGTATCCGCCTACGACACACCACCGCAGTACCAACTGCCAGACCGACAGGTCCTCCGCGAACGCGACAACCCCAACAGCTACGGCAGCAGCCCTAGCTACGACCGACGTGGTACCCAGAGGCATAGTGTTGCGGCACCGCCTATTCCCGCCAAGGTACCCATGGACATGAACGGCGGCGGCTACGGCACACAGAACGAGGACATGGCACTCAGCTTGGAGCTGCAGAGCATTGACATCGGCCCCGGTTCTGGTGGACGTAGGCCACGCGCCGCTACGGCTAGACGACAGTACGGATACTAATGGCACAATATGGAAACGCTATACACACCATACCCCTTTTTCACGCTTCTTGATGGCGCTTGTACGATAATGTTTTTTGCGTTTGTGGAGGAAGCAGTTCTTTCTTTCCTTTGACCTTCCCACACACTTCTTAGCTCGATGTCTGGACGCTGGAGCCTGGCATGTCGGAGTACTTTTTCTTTTTCCCCTCTTCTCTCTTCTTGACTTGACTCGATGTTATGTGTTATCATGCATAGCATCTGGCTTGCGTAGATTGTGGTCTCTTCTTGCGCCTTCGTGCGTCCTCTTTTGCACTTTTTGTAGTGTTCTGCTGGCTGCTTGATATTGAGCGCGAAGATAGATACCAATACCTGAATATGTCTAGTTCATCCAGTGTCCTTCCAGCCATGCTTCACCAGATGATGACACCGCCCGTCTACTCCTCGAGTATTGTCATCGCCAATGGTCGATCCCGCTGTAGAGCTTGACTACGAGTCACGGCATGGCACGGCAGCCAAACGCGGAAGGTTGCGCACATACATGTTGGTAAGTCACGCTCCAGCCCTGCGCTGCCCTGATCATAGCAACGCGTGAGTGACTAGGTCATGTTTGTGTAGTCACAGACCGTGACCTGAAGGGTCAAATACTCATAGTCTCGAAGGTACCTTGACCCTTTGATGGCTGAGTACCATGACTGTTATCACCGTACACACCATGGGTGCTACTGACGTTCCCTCTACCCCACTACGCAGACATGATGGCCCCGAGTATCTGCATCCAGTCACTCCTTACAGCGTCATGACAGTCATTCCTGTATACTAACCTCCAGAGAAGTCATCGAGATATGACATGTTCCCACGCTCAGATCTCTTTTCTGGGAGTCATCAGCAGTATAGAAATCTTCGTTCCTGGTATCTCAGTGGTAAAACTAAACCAGACTCCCCTACTTGTTGGCGCGGCTACATTCCCACATCTACATATCGTTCCTAGTAAGACAGCCATGTCCGGAGGCGCTAACACGAGCGAACCGTCAGTCAATGGTGCGCACGCGATCGGCACGCGAATCGATGGCGAGCAAAGTAATGGCATCCATAACGATGACGACCAAACCAAGGGCGATGGAAACAATGACGAGCAAAACACTGGCGAGCAAATCAATGCGACGGAGCCCAATAACAACTATGATTTTACGACCCGTATTGACGGTCGGGATATTGACGATGACGAGCAGGGGATTGTCGCGGACATCGAAGGTAAGTCGTCGCGTGCTCACCATAGGATGCACTCACACAACTTTATCGTAGACCTAGCGCTTGCTATCGATTCGAGATACCAACGTGCTACTGGCTGGGAATGGGAAACCGTGCGAGGTAAAGAGAAGATTACTCTTACGCTGCCAAACGAGTACTGCGCATGCGGGGATAAGAAAACATCTACCGAATCTCTATGGCAGCTTCATGGGCATATGGTAACCCGAAATAATCTCCCGAGGCGGGGGGCAGCTCAATCCAACCAACATTGATCTTTGTTCGTGCGGAATGGTCTCGTGGTTCATCTGAATAATGTCTTATCTGCACATTTCCTTCTACTTGGTGTGAGTAGGAGGATTGATATGACCTTTCGAGAATTTAAAGGTATCCAATATGCCATTAGTCGCTTCTTATGTTTTCATCAATGCTTGTGAGCACTCTTTTACGGAAATTTCCGGTGTATCTTAGGATGCCTTCGGCGAGAACCAGTCGTACGTGATGGTTGGCAGCACGATCTAACAAAGAGTCGGCAAATGTTACAGAGATTCGTTATCGGTAGCGATCAGTGGCTCTTTAACACCTATAGTCAGCTTAAGGCACAGCTGTACGATCTTTGTCACTCTTCAGCCCGTCTCTGTTGACGGAGGGCTGAGGCATTTCGCATTCTCTACTTTCTTCGCTTCCTCCAATTTGCCCAGCATACCATCAACAAATTGCCCGCCTTATGCCTTCGGTACGTCTTCCTTCGGCATTCTTTTCTTCAGTTCGCGATTCACATCATTTACAGCTTCCATCAAAGACGCGCCCTTTCCCTTGACTGGTCTGTCATTCTCCCCATTGGGCTCGATTCGGTCCTCGTCCTCGTCCTGGAGGTTGATTTTGGCCTTCCATTGCGGTTCGATACCTTGCTTCAGGGGCTTTTTGTACGCGATCCAGATCCTCGTACAATTTCCCCTGTAGTCGGGAACCAGTGTTTTGATGTTTTCTGTACCAGATGATGGTGTCAACTTTCCATTATCATAAAAGTCAGAAGTGAAATTGGAACGTACCATCGACTTTCCTTATCTCTCCCATCTGCTTGTCGTTGATCAGGCCGAGACCTTTGAGTCTTGTGGGAGTTCCTTTGACTGGCGTGTCATACTCAATCGATTTCTTGTCATCATTTTGCTGAGTAACACCACCGTTGCCATCGTTGTTGCTCATTGTGATGAGGGCTGAAGCTAGGTCCCTTTAGTATAGATAGAGACAATAGAGGAGTGTATAAGATATGGAGGATGGTTTGGTGAACAAGGCTCATCGCATGACCACCGTATGTTCCTCTCTCTCTTATACATAGCAAGAGTCACGGTAGTACGCGGAAGAGTTATGCTCTCTGACTTGAGGAAGTTGGTGAGTAACCTCGCAGTGATGAGTGCTTCGTGGAGTCAGCCACGTTCAAGACTCAAGCTTCTTACAAAAGCTGGGAGTCTATGTCGCATTCTTCTTCATCACCATACCTCCAAAACACACAAACTCCTGCACAACGCTTCTACTACTCCAACATGTCTTCAAATTCTGAATCGGTCCCATCATCAAGCCAGAACTCCGAAGCACCCAGTAGACCGAATATGTTAAAGGGCGCTGACATCCCTGCATCCGACCTCTTCAAGCCGACGGGTTGTGCACAGATGTTCGAAAAGATCAAAAGCAAGTATAGCTATCAATAAGTAATCACATGTTCACTAACGCAGCTACAGAGGCCATGGTCCATCTCAATAAGGATTTCGACCCCGAGAAGATATTCGACCACATGACAGTCATGGAACACCCCTCTCCAAGCTCAGAGAAATTTTATGTAATTACTCTCATATACGAGAGGGAAGTGGAAGTGGAAGGACAGAAGGGCAAATTTAAGAAGGCTCGTACTGTTACATCAGGAGCGGAGAAGCTTTACGCGAGGATGGCGTTATTCAGACTTATGGACGAAATTGACGATTCTGCCGGAATTTATGTCAAACCGGTTGAAGGCTCTTGAGTCCGGCACAAGCTGCGTTTGGGGGGTAATTGTGGATTTGAGGGACAGTGTTGGTGTACATATTCATAGTAGTAGTAGTAAACGCCATACGTAGCGGGATGAAAAATCTTGTTCCTGCGTTGAAGCGCATTTATATAAGTTTGATCTACCCGGTAAACATACACAAACAAGCCAAGCCCCACCTCGACAAAAGAAATCGCTCCCAACGCTGCTGCCATACACTTGTGGCAGGCCAATTTCTACTATGCAACATGACCAAAAGGGCTTTTCTCGTTGACATCCCTGAGATACCAGAGCATAGACTGGACCCAACCCTCCTATAATTCGGTCAGCGCTTAATCATTAACGGTAGGCGTAAATGTCATCATACATCTTTCTTCCACATGTAGACGATGCTATTAGCGGTGGTCTTGGCGCCTGAGTTGCACAGGCATGCATCGTCGAACTCGAGACTCTTTAACCTGCTTACTGTAAGCAAGCGCACGCAAATCGTTCGACGTCAAAACCTACCAGAAAGATCCAGGCGCATGACCAGGCTCAGCTCGCCAGAACTGCTTTGCGTTTGTGGTGCAATATGTACCACTGACACCCTTGGGAGCCCCCAGATAGGCATCGGTTGCGACGTTTCGAAGCGCGAACTCGTCAGATTTACCTGCGCCCTTCCACTCCACCACCCATTGCTGGGACTTGGACACCGTTGCTTTCTGGGTCTTGATTTCCTTTCCGGCATTGTCGGCTTCGACGACGTGGCCGCCGTTGATGGCGATGATGTAAATTGTCAATGACATAGTTGCAGCCTTAGGATCTCGTAGTAAAAAAAGTACGAGATACTCGACAGCAACCGATTTATATGTGGAAATCTGGTGTCTATCTCTGAGGGACATGTCATAGTGACTATTAGATGAGGCGTCAATGCTTCTACCGATTATGTCATTTGCTGCATGTCTTAGTGCCCGAAGCTGTACACCTATATGCATGAGAGTGTAGCGACAGCTAGTGTGGCAGCTGTATATGCCAGCGACAGTACTAGTATTGCTCTACATGTAGGATCTGTCTAACAACGTCTATCTGACAGCGTCTAGCTTAGAAGCTCACCTTGCATACCTATAAGAGACCATTGTGGGTGCCAGGGCTACTGTCAGCTAAAACAGTGCTGTCCGCTTCCTCGAGTTGAGCCATCCTCTTTTGACAGTACTGTGGGCCGGTGCTACTTTCGGACAGGCGGCACGATCAAAAGCAAACATCGCCGCGATTAGGAGAGTAGCTCTAGCCAGCCTTGGCGCGTGGTAAAAAGTAAACTGGTCAGCTCGGACAAGCGGTCGGAGTGCCGTTAGGACACATTGAAGAACCCCTAGCCCTGTAAGCAAGCGTAACACAGGTTGTAGAAGAGAGTGTACCGCAACCTTATAGAGCCCCAGCCGCGCGCATGTAGTAGCAGAGGTAGACGTTGGCAGGTTGTTCGCTTGATCTTACCTAGGTATGCTTTACGTGATTTGTATAACTATAACCTTGCGCTCGCATCCTGTAGTTACGCGACCCTGTGTATCTAATGGCTCGAATTAGACCCGTGGTTGTCAAAGTATGCCGCGTTGGAGTTGAGACGATTCACGATGCAGTGGAATACGAATGGCTCGTTGGCTGCGCACGGACTGTAAAGTAGGTAGCCGATCATTAGGATCGCCGAACACTAACAGCGCACGTCGGGTCCATCCGGATGCAGGCTTCCCGGATCGGCCGATAGGACTTAGGCTTAGGACGCTTCCGAACTACCTGCCGTCGGAGCCACAGCCTACCTAGGTAGTGTCAACGCACAACACTCAGAATGGGTCATTGACGATGACGTTATCGATCGCTGACGTGTTGAGACTGAGAGATGCATATCTGTCGAGCGAAGATGAAGATGTAGATAAGGCGGTTCAAGAGTGTTGAGTACCGGTTCTAGCCCCCTGATACGAAGAAGTTCCCTAACCCCCGTTGACTCACGTCTTTGGCACAAGACATGACAGCAAGAGAAAGATGATATTAGACTTATCGCAAGTGACACGTAGTGCACTTTAACTGCTGTATGTCGTGAATCCCACATACAACCACTATTCTCGTTGCTCAAATTATCGTGACTTCTTTCGAGCGACAAGCCTGAGTACCTTTCTTCGCCAGATCTTTGTACAGCCCACTGCATTTGCAGGGGATGTCACCCTTCTACCCCTATCGTTAACTCTAAACTGCAGGTTCTTCAAAGCTTTCGAAGCATCCTTAGAAGGCTTGCTCCACATCTCTTCCTTTGGTGTTTTCCTCCCACCGCCTGCTACTAGAAGTAAAGCTACCACCTCTTTTTCCTTGCCTTCAGGAGCAGCTTCTTCCCGGAAACGGATATAGACATGAAGACCGTTGTGTTTGCTCAGATCGAGAGCTCTGAACTTCTCTGCTCGTAGAAGAAACTTTGTCAACACATGTAAGTGAAGAAAGGTTGGGAAGGGAGACCTTACCTTTGATGCGAGTACAAAGTTCGCGCTCTGACGAGTCCAGGTTCTCAGGTATAAAGTAACCCTGAAGTCTATCGTGCTTTTCGATAGCGACGTTGATTTTTACTCTGTCATCGTCAAGGGATTGACGTCCCGAGGTTGGGTCGCACAACACTGCTCGCTGGGGAAGGGGAAATCGATCGCCATATGTGCGATGGATCTCTGGTTGCTTGGAAGGTTGTGCTGAATGCTTGATTTTGTCCTCTACCGCCCGTATTGCTGCGATATTAGCGGCTGTGGCTGGAGTGGATGCCTCATTCATCTGCGGTAGGTCGGTGTGTTGTTCGATTTGCGGTAAGTGTATGCGATTTCGTCGGCATCACAATGTACTACGGCATTGGATGCAATTTGTACCCAAATCCAGTGTGAGCCATATCTAGTAATGACTCTTCGGGCTGTTCAGTGTTAGGTGACTTACGAACTTTGTGAATTTCAGTAGTGGTAACCGCTTTGAACATTCTTGAGTAATCTAACAGTCATCATTGAGTGGGTGGAAATAAGATACCCAAAACGATGAGTGTCTCAGCGTTCGAAGACGCAGCATGATGAGTTCAGAGCTTCGCCATGGCTGGCCTAGCCAGTCATCCTTTTCCAAACCAGGACCAACAAGCCAAGCCTATCTCGGATGTCTTCGTCCCCCATGATATTTCCCTCCACATGTTGGACCGCTTCAGTTCAGCCGCGTCTTGTCGAATGAACGTTCCAAGCTGCCTCAATGCCTTCTCTTTCGTCTCCTCGTATGAACCCTCGCTCATCGTATCATCCCTTGGGATTGCGAAGTCCCCGGGTCCAAGTACAAGCGCGGCTTTTACTTGCGGGTGGGATGTATCGCGTGGATCGATAAAAAACTCGATATAGATGGGTCGATCCTCGCACTCTTTACGGAAACAGCGCCGGTAGTAATCTTCCGTTTCGTCAGCGGGTACTAGGAACACTTGACAGTGACTGCAAACCTTTTATGAGGCTTTCCAGCCTTCTTTCTCGCTTTGTTAGGGAATCGGATGGAGACTTGTTGTCCTCGTCGTTGATTCGAGTGAATTCGGAGCTTGTCTCCGCCCCGGAGGCTGCGGAAACACTCGACGCGTTACTGAAGCTCGTGCCAGCACCACGCTTTCCTCGCTCCGAGACAACGGGGCTGACATTCCGTCCACGACGCTTGAAGCGGCTGCTCGTGTGATGTTCTTGAACTTGAGGCGCCATATCAAGGATTCAGAGAAGGTGATTGTTACGCCTAGAATGTGTAGTGATCTTATATGCGCGATGTATCATCCTGCTGGTTGACTGTGCATGGCCAAGCTCGACAAAATGACTCCGAACAACATACCATGACTAGAGAGAGCACATGACAAGAAGTAGAAAGACGTGTTTGGCAATGACGATACGACGGTATATATTATCGTCATTCCGTGAATGACTTAAGAGAAGAAACTCCGAGCTGGGGTATCTGTACGCGAAACGCTCAAGGAGAACTATGCTAAACTGCGACTACTTTTTTCCCATGACCAACGTGGTCTACTGTCTTGACTCATTGAGTCTCATTACATCAAGTTGACTAATAAGCCTACTCATACAAACTTCGGTCGTTGGGATCGTTCTTCGGTGGAGGGGGAGCAGTAGCTGGTGCGACGGGCTCGGCTTTTGCTACATCATCTGTCGTTGTTGCATCGCTTACGTTCACAGGTGGTATCTGTGGCGCCCCCTCAGCCACAGGTCGAGGTGGAAGTGGAGGTGATGGACCCTCGGGTGAGGGGCTTCGAGGTGGTGCTTGTGATGGCATTGTACCCACGTTCGGTGGGGCGCCATATGGCGTAGGGGTATGAGAGCCGTTCTGAGGAGCAGTATGCGCAGCCTGGGGGACCTGAGGTGCCATAGGAGAGACATTGCCCAACTGCTGCTGCGGTTGTGGGTAGCCCACTGCCGAAACGGGAGATTGAGACACCACCGGTCCAGCCTTGGTCATATCGCCGTAGTAGCCAGCTTGCTGAGGAGGTGGGTACGTGTAGCCTTGAGGTGGGACGAATCCTCCGTTCGGTGACACGACCCAGCCCGGAGGCGGAGGGCCGTAGTAGTAAACTTGACCAGGGACCATAGGCTGGGAAGCACCGGGTGTTTGAGCCATGGCCGGGTACAGTGGCTGACCCGGCGGTACGAAGCCGACGGTAGTCTTGCTAAACTGACCCAGCAACTCCTCAGGATACCTGTGGCGGAATCCCCACTTCCACCATGCCTTAAAAGCCGCTCCGCTACCCATGTTCTTCCACCTTTCAGCCAACATCTTCTGGTCTCCAGCACTTCGGCGATCTTGCATACGAGTGAAGCAAAGTACCCAGAGGGACATGAGAATCCAACAGACCGTACCAAAACGCATGGCACTCTTACCGAGCATGAGGCGACGGAACCAGAACCAAGACTCGAGAAATCCAAGTAGGAAGAGCCCGGGGATTATGCATGCAATGATGATGATCCATGTAATCACACGAGATCTACAGTAATAGTAGTAGCAACTGTCGTATGAGCTGTCGCTGTCACTGTCGTTGTTGTCTGAGCTGCCGCGATTTGAGCCGCCAGACGACGAGGTGTGAGTGTTGTACGATCCCGGAGGTGTACTACAATCCGCCATATAGACAGAGTAGTAGTAGTCCGACGTTGACGTGAAAGGCGCCGCGCTCTCGGAAAGGTACCATGTCTCCCAAAGGTAAAGGGTGCCGGAGTAGGCAGTGGCAGAGGATGTTTCAATCGAAGCTGGTGAAAGTTGCGCAGTAACCTGAGTTGGGACGTATACAGAGGCGGATGTTGTTATGGTAACTACAGGCAGTCAAAGTCAGTGTCGAAGAGATTCGAAGAGAGAACGTAGTACTTACATGGTGTGGGGCATGAGGCAGGTGCCGTCATCGTTACTGGCATGCTGAATTCGATATCCCTGACTGTCTCGGTGGTCGTCGCCGTCGCCGAAGGGGAAGTCGCGTAGTAATCATACTCAGGCACAAGATCAGATTCGGCCACCGCACTAGTTGTGTAATACGCGTATACGACCTCAAGATCGTCGTAGTAGCCGAGGGCTGTGGACGTCGAGTACGGTGCGATCGTAGGAGTGACTCCATCCTTGATAGTGCGGTACTCAGTGTAAGTCTCGGTAGCGACGGTGTCGTCATAATATGTGTACAGGCTTTGTGTGGCAACCTCCGCTTGAGCGTAGGTGTAGGTCCAGTATGCTGAAGTATAACGAGTGGTAGTGTAGTCATCATCCAAGAACTGCGCGCTCGCAA